CCAAGTAGGATCCAAATTGTTCAGATCAGGCAGCCTTGCGCTGAGTGCCTTCACCTGGTAGTCACAGGTAACGAGGGATCGCACGGCAGACACACGAGGGGCAGGGCCCTTCCATCTCTCCTTCCCTCCCAGTGCAGAAATTCCGTTCAGTGCTGGAAGCAGGATGCCATCTCCCAACAGACCAGTCGTACTTTTTTCAGGGTAGTTACAGCTGCGGGCTCACGTACAAGGCTGCAGATTAGGGATGGCCAACTCTGCTCTCCAGGCACTAGTCTGGCAGCTTCAGTTCTCCCATCATTGCATACAGGGCTGGGCAATCTGCATGACAGGCCCTAGAGCCATCTGTGCCTACCTTAAGATCACCTTCGGAGCTCCTTCTCTGGGAGTCACCTTTAAAGGAGTGAAGTGGGTAGCCACTCATGGAAGGGCCTTTTTGGCAGTGGCACCTTGTTTACGGAACTTGCTCCCCAGAGAAATATGCCTGGCACCAGGCAAAAACTTTTCTATTCAATCAACATTTTAATGGTTAGATGGGACCTTATTAACATCTACAGCCAGGTCTTCATTTTGCTTCTTTGCTTTGGATTTTGTTTATGTGTTTGTTATTGGGATCTTGTATTTATTACTTTGTTCTAATTATGTTGCAAATTGTTTTGTTTAGCTTTATTTATTGATTAATTGGAATGTTTTATTTATTGTTATTCTCTTTTAATACATGGTGTTATGTTGGGGATTTTACTGAATGTAAACCATTCAGACAGCCAACATTGCTGAGTGAATGGTATACAAAATTTAATAATAAATAAAATAAAATAAAATAAAATAAATCATAGCTCCTGGGGAAATTTTATGCATCCATCATGAATTTCAAATCAGTTCAGACTTCTCTCTTGCTGGTATGTGGTCCCCAACAGATTGCCCATGGGGAACGCAGCCATCACAAGAAGAAAAAGTCACCCTGCACAACTGTTACAGATGTTCCTTCTGTCAGTTCTCATAGGCAGAGAACACATTCAATCAGGATAAGAACAGTTTTGATTAGGGAAGTGGGAGAGGTTTGTTTCTGCTCACAAAACATTCAGAATGTCCCATTCACAGCCCTGAATAAGGGCAGGAGCAGGAGAATACCTTCTCTGAAAATGTTTGCAAATCTTCAATTTTGTTCTTACAAATTTGATAGAAAAAAAAGAATGTCATTGTGCCATTTTTAAAACGTGCCCAGTCACATTTTAGCGTATTACCAAAATTTGTGCGACTTTGTGCAAATTTAAGGTTTGTGTGTGTGCAACTTTCCTGTTCAATCACATTTCTTTAGTGAAATTTTCCTGTGTGCACAAAATGAACAGCAATAGCAAATGTGAGTGTAAAGTGAGGTGAGACAAGCAATGAGCTAATGCTTGATGAATCTTGGTGAACTTGAACATTATGAACTCTTCCTTAGATTTGATATTTTATGTGGCTATCAATGGATGCAAATGCACTTTCTGGAAGGTAGCCCTACTCTGAGATGCAAATTGGCTGAGGTTCTTTGTCTCTTCAGAATGAACACCACAGAGAAACATAATAACATGGATATGAAAATGAACAGGAAGGCTCTGTTGAGAGCAAATGTCATGGGGAGCTTTGGCAAGCATTCCTGTAGGATGCAAGTCACACCACTTTTGTGGATTCAGATTCTACAGACGAGTATTTCAGTGAAATGGAGGAGCACGAGTTTGCTCCTCAAGGTCCTGAGAGGCCACAGGGGGAGGAGGTGGAGGCAATTAGCACAGGGCAGAGCTGGTGGTGGGGAATAGCGGGGGGATATAGCTAGCAGGACGTGCCCCTGAGACAGGGGAATCCTCAAGTGGAGATCAGACCCTCCCCTCGCAGCTGGTCCCTGTGGCCAGGCATCAACACAGGCGAGAGTCCTGGTTAGATGAGGAGTGCGTGGAGAAGAGGCATCCCTCCTGGAGGGTTGGGACACAAATGTACTCATAAGGAATGTTTCCGGGAATAATTGCCAGATTGGGTTCAACGGACCACCTTGTGTATGCTGAGAGACTTGCCTGGACGATTTACATTTGGAAACAATAAAGAAGCATTTTGCAAAGAAACAGCCTGAGGCTGGTGATTGTCAGGAGGAGGAAATGCAGCTCACAACAGACTCCCCCCTCCCCCCTTACAATTGAAAGGGAAGAAATGTTTGCCACATCTTGATTCAAATCTGCGAGTTAATTCAGTGGCTTCAGCTACCTGATGGAGCATGACTGGTAAAGGAAGACTAGATTGAAAATGTTACAACATGAACATTCAGAATAGTTATACTAGTTAAAAGTCAGGGCAATACCAGGCAAAGAGGGATGTGAAAATACTCAGATGAGAATGAGGAGAGAATATGTGAGCACTTACGCGAGCAGAGCCTGTGCACTAACCCTGGTCAAATGCCCCTCCGTTCTGTTGTCTTCATGCATGAAGTACCTGGTCTGAATTCTGGCAGATAAGCGTTCGCAAAGGCAGCGGCACAGTCTATTATTCTGACCTTTTAAATTACTGAGCAATACGATTGCTTTGCAATCCCTTTAAAATGCCAGCTGAATGATCCCATCAAATCTGTAGGCCTGGCCAATCCAAACATCAGGTCTTCGAAAGGTCACACTGTCGGAACATGCTGTTGCTCTGACAGCCCATATTGAGCTGCTGGATGCCAATGTGATGCCCAGCCAATGAAAAGTAGAATGGCGGGACAAAATACATGAACGGCATTAATCATGTTTGCCATGATGGCCAATGATGAAAAAAGCATTGCAGAGTTGGAATCTTGTCCAATTATCTACCCTGCTGTGGGGATGTTCTGCTTTTATGCCATCAGAGCATTTCTGAACGGCCTGAAATGGATGGTGGCTCTTGTTCTGGCAGCTTTGCTCTTAACTGTAGGACAGAGCAGGGGTGGTTGATCTTCCAGAGGTTGTGGGACTACAACTGTCTCTGGCCCTTGCCACGGCAGCCAATGGTGGGGAATGATGGGAGTTGTTCTCCAACAACCTCTGAAGGGCCACAAGTTTTCCACCCTTGGGTTAGACATTTTCTAAAGCTACTGGACAGGGCTGGAGAGTGGGAGGCGGGGAAGAGGAAGGCAACCAGGTGAGTTGGACAGGCTGATGAGCTGGCTACTGGGTGGGCTAGGCTCTGCTCTGATGTGCATGGAGGAACGGGGAACAGCCTCTCTGTCCCTAATCAACCTTGAAAGTATGTACACTTGCTTCAAGATACTTCTTGCGTGGCATTTTACTAACACTGACATTTGTTTCTGTGCTTCAATAAAACAACACACAAAAAGGGTCTTACAATCAGAGGACTGGATCCAGATGCAGTCACTGAAATGAATGGTCATGACAAAGGGTGCTGTCCTATGCCTTATACTCTTGATGCATGTGAGCCTTCTGCTGTGCAGTGTCTTGTGCCGAGTATTTTATCTAGACTGTTCATTGCAAGCAGGTCTCTCCCTCTTTCTTTTCTTCTCCAGATGAGGACTCAGATACATAGTCCTCTTATTAGGGTTTAACCAGTTATGGTAAAGTGTAAATCAAAGTAGCATTCTCTTCAAGATGTGGGAGAACAACTTCAGTTGAATCCAAACTAAAATGTGACATCCTTCCTTTCCTGTCAGAAAAGCTTCTAACTGAACCCATAGGGTGACTCTTTTTGCTTGAGGGCTAGATGGCCCATTGGACACTTCGTAATTGGTTCGCCATTGCCACACAAGGTAAAGGAATGCCCCTTCATTCTCCAGTCCACCCAGTTCTGAAATGCCTCCCTCCTTTTCCAAGGCATGTTGGTTCACATGCTCTTGCAGAATCTTCATTAGGTAACCTCAAAGCTGCCAAGTCACCTGCCCACCTCTGCAGAATTGGATGAAGCTATCTTAACAGACTGTAATGTGTGAGAGTTGAGGCCTAGCTCTACACTGCTGTGGATGGGAGAGAAGGAGGTGGGGTGCTGATATTTTTTTCTCTAGCTCCCTCCCTTCCCCTCCGCTCCGCATGAACCTTTACCCCTGAGACCTGGGGGCGTGGGGACAGCTGGCACACCTCTTTCTGCACTGGCTGTGAAAGAAGCAATGTGGGAATTTGGTCTTTGGAGGCTCTGAATTATCCTATGGCCTCCCAGACAATGCTGAGAAGCCATAAGATTGTGCCCTAAGTTGCACTAATTCCACAGGGTCTACTGGAAGCATGACTGAGCATGGTTCAAATTCAGAGTCAGAAGGGACCTCGAAGATCATGTAGTTCAGCAGCCTGGTGATGCAGGAAATCCCACCTCTGGTTAAAAATCTCCATCAAGGCCACTGTACATATAGCCATAATGGGGTTGATTCCCCACCATTTTTTCCAGGATGTATCCATGTGCTCATATGAATTTATAAGCAAGGAAATGTCTCAGTGGGACTTCTCAGCAGACATTTATTGAATTGCCATATTAACCACATGGCTTCATTTTCTATCAAACCCTGTTAAATAGCATCTGACAAAAAGCCAACAATCCAGATGCACCACTGTCACCTGCACACCACGACCAAAACGCTCCGTACTCCTAATTAAAGCAACCTAGGCATCTCGTCCTATAAACTATCAGCTCTTGGACAGTGAAAAATGCCACCAGAGTTTAAAAGGACGTAATTTCTTTTTCTTTTCTTATCCATACTCTTCAGTGCTTCATTTTTCTCAAGCAGAGCCTGCCTTGCATATAAATCTCCCGGTGGGAACTCTATCATGGATACAGCGAACACAGGATGTAGTTTCTGCAATGACATTTTTCTATCGTTGTAGTAATTAATGGTCAGTTCCCATCAGAATGAAATTGCACAGTGAGAGGGATGATTGCAATGGAGAGAAAGGTCCATTATGTGCTTACCAATATGCATGTGAAGTTAACAGTTTAGCACCTTGCGCCATACAAGCAGATCACTTTGGGCTGCCGTTCAAAGCAATCATTAAAAAAGAAGAAAAATAAAACCTTACTTGGAAATGCTTTGTCATTAAAGTCTTCCGGTCATCTTCAATTTGCCGGAACTTGGCCTTCAGCCCTTTCATTTGGGTTTCCATTCTTAAAACATACTGGAAATCTCTCTGAGTCCGTAGGTTTAAAACTTCAATGGACTGAGACATATTCTGAACCTGTCAAAGAAGAACACTGAGTACATGCTCATTTTTTTGAAAAACTGTGTGTTGGTTTCTTTCTTATATGCACATGCAATCCCAAGATTGAGTGATGGGCTGTCCTGCATCACAAATCACACTGTTAGACATTGAAAAAAAAACTGTGCAAAGTGATGGGCTTTCAGATGCACAAGAACAGAGATAAGACTTGCATTCTGGATTCAGTTCTTGTTCTTGTGCATGTACAGCCTTTCTAACATTAATGTGATTGTGACCATATAGAATTTATTCCAATGCCTTAATCCTTCATACAATACTCTGTAAAAGAACATATTATGATAACTCAGCAGATTTGCTCCAAGAAGGCAGAGCTTCTTCTGTGCAGAGCTGCATATTCATGGACATACAATGCTCTGGCTGGGCTGAGGCGGTCATATTTATTTTAAGTCAATTCAGAACAGTGATGAAGAGAGTCATGAGCAGGCTGGCTTTGAAACAGTCTCTTAAGAGCTGTTCCATATGTTCAGTTTTCTTTTAAAGATGAACATTTAAAATGTCACATACTGCCAAAGGAAGCATACACTTAAAAACAGAAAAAAAAAGCAAATGAGCAGGCAACAGACTTCTGCTTTTATACATGGACATCATCTTCTACAGGTCTGATCAAACACACATGTGCTACATCAGGTTTTCTGTCCTATTGTAGGTAAACTTTCCTGCACCAAGCACTTGCTAGCAAAACATCACCACTGCTCGTGGAAAGACTCATTTTCCTTTAGTTTCCACACCTGTATTACTGCAATAATTACTTGCAGTGTCAGATGCATGCATTTTATTGAGCAGTGTCCAAGATTGCTTTCAGAAGAGGGAGCAGTCCCCTGGCTCTGCACTCAGAAAGTTGATGGCTTCTTCTTCTATTTTAGAGGGACAAAATCCACACACTTTATTTTTCACATGGAGAAGGTTTCCCCCAAAGTATTCTCCAACTAAATGAGTCCCCCAACACTCCCAGGCAAACCTAGAGAACGAGCATAGATTGGTTTAAACACACACACAGCTGTATACACATCTGGAACCTATTTTTATTTACTTATTTACTTATTAGATTTTTATCCTGCCCCATTAGCCATAAGGGGAACAAGTGTTTCTGGAACACAGAGGATTGTGGGAAATGAATCTGGTCCTAGGGGGATATTCTTCCTTCTGCTGCCCCGAATCTATTCTATCAGATGACAGGTTACTATCAGCTTAGTAGAACTGACTTGGAAACAAGAACATTTTATTAAATACACAGTACGGGTGATCTTAGAATGTTGGTCTAGGTAGTGGAATCTTCCCATAAAGTAGGGATGATCCACTGTGGGCTGCTCCTGGAATCAAATTTGCCATAGCAGCATTTCTGCAGTGTCAGAACAGCTACTTCCCCACTTTAAAACAGGACAAACCAGCATACACCTTGTTTTAATGCAGAATCGAACTTCTTGTGCATGAATTTTTATTAAAATTTTCATTTCAATTCTCTACCCACACAGCTTGATTTAAAGCCAAAGTTGCATCTGCATCTTCTTCCTCTTCTGTTTCTGCCATTGCTGTTCTGTTGAAATCTGGCAGCAATTTGGTGGCACCAGCAACTTGGGGTGGTGGTGGAGAACCACAAAAAAGACAGGGGATGCAGATTATCCACCCCTGCTATGCAGTACCTTGGGGGGAGTAATAGAAAAAAGGCCAGGCCTCTTCAAGATAGTAAAGGGTTTACTGATAAAGTGAAAAGTAAGACCATTGGCAAAGCAAATGATTGATGTCTTGCCCAGAAAACAGGTGTGTGTGTCTGAGAGAGAGAGAGGTAGCTGCAGCCATAAACAAGATGGCGGCCTTAGAGGAATGTTGAACCGGTGAGGAACAAATGGAGTTCAGAGGGGCTCTTGGGTAACAGAATCATAGCAAGCTGATCCAGAGAATTCTGTGTCGGGGATTCATAGTCCCTCACTGAACAACACTCTCCAGCATTCCTTGGGAAGAAGAAATATCTTCTGAAACCAACCAGTCCTTCTGACCAACCAACCCCACCCAACCTCTTCTGTCCTGTGTGTGGGGCAGAACTCAAGGGGTCACATCCTGCTCCTGCCCCACATGGACTTTGCATGACTGACTTTTGCTGGCAAAGAAGGTCACTGACATTCAGGGAAACCACACAGCCAGTGTCAACGCGAGGAGGACAGAATTTGAGACAGGGCCGTGGTTTCAGTTCCGCCCTGACTCTTGTTTTGTGCGAGTAGTTCTTCTACAAAGAAAAAGCAAAGAAAGACAATAAAACGGTCTCAGTCTTTTTACAGTCTTCTGCGGCACTCATTTAAATGTCAGTGCTCTGGAGAGTGGAAGACAGTGATATTTGTTCAAGGAGGGAGGGGGCACACGACTGCTTTCTACGAGTAGTTAAAAATATGATCTCCAGGCTTCATTGCCCTCCGACTGAAATAAAAGAAGAAACACACAGTAAATGTGCCAAGTGCCTAGGCTGTCTGAGATGGTCAGCTGTCCCTTTTCAGTGGCCCTTCCTCTCACCTCGCTGGGAGGCAGCTTCCCGGTATCCCTTGAGATTCAAGACCGGGGGGCAAAACTGCCAATACTTTAAGACCGTGCCTAGCAGTCTTTCCTAGGGCTCAATGTCTGGACCGAAACTCTAGCATCAGGGTAGAGAGGGGGCTAACTCTGAAGACCTAATTTGGGTCCCCAGTTAAAATAAAAACTGAAGCAGCTGCTTGACACAGTTTTAAAGTTGTGCTTGTTTTGGCTGTCTTTGGCTTGCTGGAATATAACCTGGAATGAGCCTAACCCCAAAACCTACAGGAATGTTCCTCTGTGCTGGTCAGGGGGCAACATTTGTTTGTACTCTCTGAATCTTGGCTTCAAACATGAGCTTTCAATATGTGCTAATGGTGATTTTACTAGCCATGATAGCTTGCTGGCTCCTCCACATTGAAACACAGCATACCTTTAAAGATTGGAAGTTATGGTCAAATACAAGTGAAAAAGTGTTGCTTTCATGCCCTACTTGTGAGTTTCCAGTAGCATTGGGTCAGTGGTGTTGTATCTCTCTCTCTCTCTCTCTCTCTCTCTCTCTCTCTCTCTCTCTCAATCTATCTTTAAGAGCCTGGTATGGCATCATCTTCAGCCTTGCCAGGGTAATTAATGGACTCTCTTTGCTCTGACAAGTGAATTAGGCAATAACAAGGCTTTCAAGTTTGCCTATTATGCATAGCAGAGTAGCACAGAGAAAGTCAGGAGAGGATGGAAAATAACAGCAGAGGCTAGCTAATTCTTCCCTTCTCTTTGATGCTGTTCTGACTTTATGCTCGATATTTAAATGGTAACCCTTGTTTGCAAAAGACTTTCTGGCTAAAAGCAGAAGGTTGCATTTTAATTGGCTGAAAATCTTTTTTAAAGCTCTGCACACATTTTACAAGTCGAATCAATCATAGAATAGAATCACAGAATAGTAGAGATGGAAGGGGCCAGAGGGCCCTTGGGTCCAACCAGCACAGAACTCCAAGTTCAACCTTCCCTCTCAGACGGCTGTCCAGTTGCAGTCAGAAGGAAGCATGACTGAATTCATTGGAGCTTGCTCCCAGGTGATTATGGAGGGGATAAGCAGTCATACCCCGTAAACTTAATTGAATTGTGAGATTTTATGAGTGGTTTGCTTGGGATGGCTGTGTATTATGAGGGCTGTTTAAACTCCTTTAAATATAAATAATAGAAAGGCTGTTTGTGTGTATGTAACTATCTATAGTCCCATTCAGGTGTTAAAGAATGAAAGAAACTCCCCACACAGAGGAACTGGGCCTGCTTCTCCCAAAATACAGCATTCCAAGGTTGTTAGCTCAGAGTCTGAATCAGAACTGGAAGAAGAGGCAGGGTCAGAATTTTTAGCTACACTGCCTTGAGATAAGCTAAGAGGGTGCTGAGAACCAGGCCACCTCTGGCTCTGGGGGAAATGCTACTGAACAGGCAGAGCTGTAAGGAGGTAGATGTAACAGGATCATTCCGATAGTTTGGTGTTGGACCAAAAAAGCAGACCAACTGAGTAGTGTCAGATGTTCCTTCTATTTGTAGTGAGTGGGCCAGGCACTCTCACTTCACAGTCTTTCCAAGGGTCTGCATTATTGGACTCTGAAGGAGAGTCAGAGGTGGCAGGGATGGGAAGGCAGGAGAATCAAAAGATGGAGGGCAGAGGTCGTTGAAGCCCCATCAAGGTCACTGCCTGCAGCTTCCCTGTCTGACCATGAGAGCAGACAAGTTTTGGAAGAGACGGAAGGGGTCCCAGGAGAGGAGGGAGAGCCATTGTGTTGCCCGGTTCCTGACCCCATGATGAGGTGTTGGCTGAGATGAACTGTCCAGTGAGGGTGGAGCTACAGCCATATTGAAAGTGAAGAATTGGGAAAAGTTTCCAGTTTGGGCTCAACTTTCTTTACATGAGCAGAGGCTTATCATTCAGCTTGCCAGAGGGTGCTTAGAGCTGCTTTGTCTTGTGACCTTCCAATAGGATCTGTATTGTAAAGGACTGTCTGGAGCTTTGGAAGAGAAGGGAAAAGTTCAGCTCAGGACACTGTCTGACCCACAAGCAGCAGTAACCACCCTGAGGGTGGAGCTAACTCTATTTGTCTGGGAAAGGAGGAGGGGGAATCTTAGCATGAACAGTTTTTCCTTAATAGCTGGTATTCTAACATCACTGGTGTCTTTTGCTAATGACTTCTGTGATATTCCTTTTGTATTACAAAGTCAGTGTAGCCAGTCAGCCTTAACATAATAAAGACTGTAGCCTGAAGCTGCTTGTCGTGGATGGAGAGGGTGGGAAAAGCCAGCCTCCAACACCACATGAGTGGTGCGTAGGGCCCTCCCTGACTGCCCCTGCATACAGTGTGGATGCCTGCAGTGAAAGTGTCCCCCCTACATGCACATATAGCATGTATGTTAGGGAAGAGTCTACAGGGGGTGCATGTTACTGGTGAGGGGGCCAT